CACTTTTTTATACGACTGTTTTCATTTGCATCATCCTGGATCTGCTTTCCTGAGGTATTTCCCAAGAGGAGATTCAAATTTACTAAATGCTTGTCACTAATAAAACACTGTGGAAAACAAGTTCCACATACTGTTAACTTAATTTTCACAATAACTTTGGAAGATAGAAATTATTTTCTGATTTGCAGATGAGGATCCTGAAGCTAAGAGAGATAAAGTTACTTCCCTGAGGTCACCTAGCTAGCAAGTAGTACAGTTGGGATTCCAAGCCAGGATCGTCTATCTCTAAAGCCTGCACTTTATCTTACATGTCAGGAATGGCATTCTGGATACTTTCCTTCAGGTTTAGCAAAGTTGTGATTGTCTTCCAGTGAGACAGTATAGCAGATGTGATCACCATACTTTCCTCACTCCCCAGGTGTTCAAGCAGCCCTGGCCAGGGATCATGCGCACAGTCTATGGGAACCATGAACGCTTTGAGACCACCTATTTTAAGAAGTTCCCTGGGTACTATGTTACGGGAGATGGTGAGTCTTGGCTGTCCCCATCCCACACCTCCTACTAAGACATGTACCTTTCTCATCCATTTTCAGGAAGAGTTGATTAGGGGTGAAGAACAGAGAACATATCCTATGTATCAGTCAGTATCTGGAGAAGACTGTAAAAGCAGGATTGAGTTATTGCAGGAAGAGTCTCAGCATGGTGCCATCTGAGATTTGATGTATAAGGAAAGGTCTCCCTCTTCCTTGCTCCTGTGTTGAAAGAGATGGGACATGTGGCAGTGTGTATTATTATGTGTGTCCCTATGTTTGCAGCCTTTTGTCTATCTGTTCATCCACTGATCCATTCGCCCATATTTGAGTATCTGCTGTGCCCAAGCACTGATATAAGCACAGGGGATATTACCATGAATAATGTAGTGAAAATCTCTGTTCTCATGGGGCTTGCAGTCTAGCAAAGGGAGAGAGTAAGCCCAGCAGTCTAGCAAAGGGAGAGAGTAAGCCCAGCAAACAAGTTGATAAACCTATATTTGACAGAGATAAGCACTATGAAGAAAAATAAACAGAGTAATGTGATAAGAGTGCACATAGTGATGGCTGCTGTACATGGGATCATTGGGGAAGGCTTCTCTGAAGTGACATTTGAATAGAAACCTAATGGGTGAAAAGGAACCAGGCCATGGGTAATCTAGAGTAAGAGTGTTCTGTGCAGAGGGACACAAGCTTGAAATGTCTGAGAAATAGAATCAAGCCTGTGAGAATGGAGTGTAGCAAGCAAAGGGAAGACTATTATATGAAATTATAGAGGTAGTTAATATACCATGGGCCATGGTCAGGATTTTATTCAAAGTATGATGGGAGACCTTTAGAAGTTTTAAACAGGGGAGTGATAAGAACTGATTTATTACTGGTGGTGCCTGTAGCTCAAGCGGCTAAGGTGCCAGCCACTTACAACAGAGCTGGCGGGTTAAAATTCAGCCTGGCCTGCCAAACAATGACAACTACAACCAAAATAGTCAGGCATTGGTGGCAGGTGCCTGTAGTCCCAGCTACTTGGGAGGCTAAGGCAAGAGAATCATTTAAGCCCAGGAGTTTGAGGTTGTTGTGAGCTGTGATGCCACGGCACTCTACCCAGGGTGATAGCTTGAGGCTCTGTCTCAAAAAAAAAGAACTGATTTATTGTTTAGAAAATAACTTTGCTTAATTTATGGAGAATAGACTTTAGGTGGGTATATTAGTTACCTACTGCCATAGAACAAATTGCCCCCCAAAGTTGGCAGCTTAAGATAACAAATAGCATATTTCAAACAGTTTTTGAGGATTAGAAGTCTGTGAGCAGCTCTGCTGGCTGGTTCTCATTTAGGGTCTCTTGTGGGTTGCAGTCAAGCTGTTGACAGGGGCTGCGGTCACCTGAAGGTTTGACTGAGCCTGGAGGACCTACTTTCATGCTCACTCTTGTGGACCTAGGCAGGAATCCTCAGTTCACTTCATGGACCTCTAACAACATGGCAGCTGACTTACCCCAGAGCAAATGATCTGAGAGAATGCAACCAAGATAAAAGATATGGTGTCTTCTATAAACTGATCTCAGAAGTGATAGCCTATCACTTCTAGCCAAACTCTGTTGACCACATAGATAAACCTTAGTACAATGAGAAAGAATATGGGGCAGGGCTATGAATACCAAGAGGCAAAGATCAGTGGGGATATCTTGGATGCTGGCTATATCATTGGGCAAGAAGGAAAGCAGGAAGACTTGTTAGAAGGCTATTGTAGTGAGCATGGCAATTTGTTAATACGGACCAGGTGTCCTACTGTGGGTTATTTATTATGTTGTGCATTTCTTCCCAGGCTGCCGCCGGGACCAGGATGGCTATTATTGGATTACTGGCAGGATTGATGACATGCTCAATGTATCTGGTGAGGACCGGGGACAACCTTCCTATCTCTTTAGCTCTATTCCCCTGGAAACTCCAGCCAAAGCTTTCTGAGAGCCAGGAGTGTCCTTTGGCCAGACCATGTATGGAATGTGGCATTCAGTTTGGGGCCAAGGTTTTGGAGGAAGAGTGATGAACACTGGAATGTGCCTGGAAGAGAACTGGGATGGTGGGGTGACTAGAAGCATGATATGTGTGGAATAAATGAAGGGCCTTCTCCATTTGACTGCCCTGTGGAAACAGATAGATGGACCAAGGCCTGGGGCAGAGGCTGGGCTCCCTCTCATGGCACTGCCTTTCCCTTGTCAAGGACACCTGCTGAGTACAGCCGAGGTGGAGTCAGCACTTGTGGAACATGAGGCTGTTGCAGAGGCAGCTGTGGTGGGCCACCCTCATCCTGTGAAGGGCGAATGCCTCTACTGCTTTGTTACCCTGTGTGATGGCCACACCTTCAGCCCCACCCTCACCGAGGAGCTCAAGAAGCAGAGTGAGGAGCCTCCCTGGGCAGGGACTACAGAGTTTGTCTTGAAGGCCTAGTTATCACTGCAAGTTTGGGGAGAGGGGTTGGAGCAAGCTGTCCCCCAAACCATGAACAGATCCTAGGGGGTCCCATGCGCTGATTGCCCTCTTCCCATTTATTCTCCACTGGGATAACAATAACCAACATTTTTAGAATACTTTGTGTCATCCATCAGGGTAAGTACTTTAAATGCATTACTCCATTTAATCCCTACAATCTTTCCTGTGAAACAGATCCTTTTGTTACCCACATTCTAAAGATAAAGAAATAGACTTAGAGGAGTTAAATTACTTTTCTAAGACCACACACTGCTAGAAAGGTGGAATTTAAACCAGCAGGATGATTCTAGAACCTGAGTTCCATGAGGGCGGGTTAAGATAAAATGAAGAGGAAAGAAACATTGTGTGAGGGGGGTGTGGGAGTGGAAGCGGGAGAGAGAGAGAGAAGTGAACCTGAGAATGACTGAGTGGGCAGGCCCTGAGGAAACAGGTGGGGAACAAAGCTATCTTTATCTTGGTTTTTGGAAGTCTGGCTAAGGGTGCTAAAGAAATGTTTGATGATTTGTTGGTTACAGTTAGAGAAAAAATTGGCCCCATTGCCACACCAGACTATATCCAGAATGCACCTGGCTTGCCTAAAACCCGCTCAGGTATGTTCAGAAGTCTCTAGGGATTGGGATGGGCCAAGGCCTGGTAGTGGCACGGTGTGTGTGGATGAAAGCCTTTGGCAGGGTTCATGTGGGTCAGTGCTGTCATCAAGTAACTAGAGGCATATGGTCCCCCAGGAAAAATCATGCGGCGAGTACTTCGGAAGATTGCTCAGAATGACCATGACCTTGGGGACACATCTACTGTAGCTGACCCATCTGTCATCAATCACCTCTTCAGCCACCGGTGCCTGACTACACAGTGAACAAGATCCTGTCCTTTACCCAGGATTCCCCTTGCTTGGCTCTCTGAAGTTTTGTCCATCCTTTCTCCCCTGCCTCAGAAGTGCAGAGGGCCAAGGCTGACCCACACTACACCTCCCTTGACCAGCTGTCTGGGACTAGAAACCAGCTTTGTCCTTAGGCGGAGAAAACTTTCTTTGACTGCCATTTCAGAAGGGACAGGGCCCAGGTCAACCTCAGACTGCTATGCCCCCAAACTGCAAAGAGTTCTCACAGCCCAGAACAGAGATATAAAGGCTACCTCTCCATTGCAAGTTAAATGTTCAGAGGGTATGTGAGGGCCTAGACTAACTAAAGCAGGGAGACAACTGTGTAATCCTGTCAGCTCTCTCAGGAAGCACCAGTCCTTATGCTGGTCATGCACTTGCCCTTAGAAATAATGGTTTGTGAGTCCAGAAATAATTGATTATTATTTTTTTAAATACTTTGCTGCTTCTGTTCTGGGTCTGAACTCCCTTTTATGCCAGGTGTCAGTACTGTCTGCCAGGGGCCGTGTGGACAGGTTTAGTCTCCAAAGGGTTTTCAGATGAATCTGCTGCTTTGAAGGAGTAGATATATTTTTTCTAGAGCCAGAGGAGCTTGCTTCCTTGTACTCTGTTCCTGCCTTCCGCTGGACAGAGCCCTGCCTATGAGAAAAAGATGAAACTCTTTTTTTGCCCCAGTCATGGTCAAGCCCTATGGTTGTAGGAATAAAGTCTGTGACCTCAAGAAGGTGGTGACTTGTTTTCTTAGTTATCTGCATAGTTAGATTGTACACCCATTAGCTGCTCTGAGTTGTGTGGCAAATGGGGAGTGGCATTCCCTAGACTACCCCAATATCTTTCTTCCAGAACTTCTAGTTTGGGCAGAGCTACAGGGCTTCACTCAGAGCCCTTTGACAAGTCCCTGAGCTAAGTAGGAAAATGATTAAAGCCAGTTCACAATTGTGATGACCTGTCATCATTGTCTTTCTTCCTAGGCTCCCAGCAGGGACACATGGTCTGGGTCTAGGGAAACCCTTATTATAGCTCTTTCACCGCCCCTGCTCCAGTCACCTTAAGTGGGCTGACCTAGATTACAGCTCCCCCCTCTATGTACAAAGCAAGGAATCGCCAAATCAGCAATGCAGTTTTATTTAAGGCAGAGGTAGAGAAAGGCTATGCCCCTCCACTTCCTCTCCTACCACTCGGTTCTATCCCAAGTCAGGCAATGGAACTCATTGGAAAGGCTGATGAGAGGCTGATAAGAGCGGGTAGGGTTTATGACCCTTTACCTCAGAGCAGCTTCCCTTCAGCTGTACCCACATCCCAAAGATCTGGGGGCCTCAAGATCTCATCTAAGGGAAATATAGCTTTTCTGGTACTCACATGGAGAGCTGAGAGAAGGTATCAGCATTTACCCTTCTATGAGGACAGCCCCTCAAGAGGGATAGGAGAGGAATGCCAAGTACAGGGAATAGGAGGCCCCTGAGCGAAGTCCGAGCTGGCCTGGTTGTACCCTCCTCACACAGTGTATGGGTTGTCCAGGACTGCCACTCCTGCTGCCACACCACCATCTGCATGCTCGATGGCTTTGGTTCGAAGTAGATGCCCCACGTGCTTATTCATCACTAGTGTCTTTCCCTGCCTATAGAATGGGGACAGGAGACATACAATATCACCTGGATTTAGCCCAAACCCAGAACCTTCCCTGGTTGCAGCTGAGCAGGATGAGGGTAACTGACTATACTCAAGAAAGTGCTAGGATTTTAGTTTCTCTTTCTCCTGGAGTTTCTTTCTAGTCCTAGATTGCCAGAACATATTTTCTCAATCCTCTTGGTACTATCTGGAATTTCCTTTATAGCTCCAAAGCACTTCTCATCTAGGCTGCATCTGATAGCCCTGTGAGGTGGACAGGTCCTAGGTCCTGGACCTCATTTAGGAGAAAGAAAACAGGTAACAAACCTAGAGATTGGCAAAGCTGAGACTGAAGCTCAGGATTCCAGATTCTGTCCAGTGTTCCCTCTAAGAGGCTTGCTTGGCTAGCACTCTCACAGGGAGGTAGTGGAAGGACCTCTTCCTGCCTGGCTCACCTGACATAGACCCCAAAGATGCCCAGCTCTGAGACGCACTGGACCACTTGGGCAGGGCTGCCAGGCCGTAGCAAGCAATTCCAAAAAGGCTCAGGTTCAATCTTCTCCATGAGGATGTAGGATGCTCTCTCCTCACTGTCCTTCAGCTGCTCCAGGGCCTGCACCATTTTTTCCCCGTACAAGTTGTTACCTGCAATTAAACTGGTCACCCTGGACCTTCTGCTCACCTCCTCCACTCCATGCCCTCACTTCTGGGGCCATGTGGGCAGGTCAGCAGGTTTAGTTCCTGAAACCAGCTCAGTGAAGCTTGGACACATCTGATTGCCAAGGAGGGAAGGTCACCTTGACAGGACAACCCTTACTTATGCAAGTGAACACACCTTCTACCACATTGTACTCCTACTTATCTGTAGCTATTCCCTCTCGGCCTCTAATACTGGCTCTTTCTCCTCTAAAATGTTGGGGTTCCCTGGGAATTGGCCCTCCACCCTTGCTCTCTCCTTCATGTACTTTTTTTCAGGGAGATCTCTTCCATTCTCAAGGCTCCATACCATATAAATTATTAGCTCCCAAATCTTTAACATAAGCTCTCTGGTCTAGACATCACATGGATGTCCCCTGGGCTCCCCACATGAACTCCACACGTCTCCCTCTCTATTACCTCTGGCACTAACTCAGACATGTCTCTCTAGTTTGTGCCCCACATTTGTAGACCTAGCCCAGTCCTCTACATTGCCCTCCTGGACAACTGTGCCAGCCTCCTGCATGGTCTCTCTGCCACCAATGTCTCACCTCATTCTAGGACGTCTACAATGGCTAAAACATTGTAAGTTTTTCAAGTTCCTATCACTGCTAACAACTTGAATTCTACATCAATGATGTATCCCTTCCTTGCTTAACATTCTCTAATGGCTTCCCATTATTCTTTGGATAAAATTCAATTCTTAATATATATTCATTGTCCTTTACAATCAGATCCCCCAACCATCTTATCCAGCCCAAATCCCTGCTGACTCCCATCTCCCACTCTAGCCTCACCAGTTTCTCATTAATCTCCCAAACACACCATGCTTTCATGGCCCAGTGCCTTTGCTTGAGGTTGTTTCCTCTATATGGAATACTCTTCCCATTTTCTACCTGGGAACTTCTACAGACCCCTTAAATCCATGTTAAAAAATAATCTTCTCTGGGTCTGTGAGGTAGGCATAATCCCTGCCCTCAAGGAGTTTCAAACTAGGCAGGAAGACATATATATTCTCTCCAACTTCCTAATATGCCCCAACCCTGCTTCCCCACAATTTCCCCCCAGGCACCTGAGACTTAAGTTGTCCAAATCCTTCAATGTTCATTAATCACATTTTTCTGTGCTCCATAGCACTTGGTCAGAGTCTTGGGGGATACTGTTCAAGGTAGGACTTATACCAGTTCCTCTAGTACCCCCATGCCTGGGACTGTGCTCTCAGCAAATGGTGGTAAGCACTGGTGATAACCTATTAGCTTGTTTCATTGAGTGGCCCTGAAGAGGGAGATCAACCTACCTCCACCCTCTCTCTGGGGCTTTAGCACAAACCGGCTAGGGGCAGCAAGGGCCTCAGTGATGGCTCGGTCCCCTTCTTCACCCTGGCAGGACACAGAAAGTAGTAACTAGCGGTTTTAAGGCTAAAGAGGCAAGGATTGAGGTCCTGCTGGTTGTATAGAACAACATCAGAGGAAGAGCAGGGGAGAACAATTACTATTTGGCTGTGACCTCCAACAAACCCCCTGCAGCAGAAATAAAATGAGAACAGGCCTTTCTCCAGCAATAACTCAGGACTCTGCAGCAGGCAGCCTATAAAGTAAGTACAGATATTCTTCCTTCTGGTTACCATCTTCATCTTTCCCTTTGCTGAGGAAACTTACAATGGATTCCAGCTTCTGTCCTTCCATCATTAGGCTGCTCCTCTCCTCAGAGCTCCATGGGTTTCCCAGAACAAAACCAACCCAGATCACAATGCCAGACACAGGGCTAGCTCTAGTCTCCCCCAACACATTGGGCTCCAGGTCTCTACCACATAGGAAGCCTGTAGTAGGAGATATGGGTTGCCCACTTACCATGTCCAGGGAGTAGAGGCCAGCAAAGGTGGCACGGAGGCGGGCCACCGCCTCGGGCTGGTCAGGGAGCAACATCTCGAGCATGCCCACCCTGCTCAGCTCCTGCTGTACCTTCTTAGTCCCAGCCAGCTGAGTGGCAATGTCTGGGCACTTGACAGCACGTGACCTCTCCAGCAGCAGGCGTGCTTCCCAGTTCTGGAGAGGGAAGATGGCAAAGGAATCCTGTGTTATTTTATTTCAGCTGACCTTTACTGAACACCCATCAGGTTCCAGGTAACATGCTTTATATCTTCACATTCATTACCACCCCAGCTCATTTCAACATCCTTATGAGGCAGGTGTGAATCTGTGAGATCTCTCTGAATCTGTGAGAATCTGTAACATTCTTGGATTTAGGGGGCTCACATTCTCACCCAATGATACATAACTATAACTAAAAAGCTCAGCTTCCTGCTGTATTTCAGATAAAATCCAAACTCCTTATCACAGTCTACAGGATCCGACTAGACCCTGTAGAATCTAGGTCTTGTCATTTTAACCTTGTACCATCCCATCCCCCCGCTTCCACATTCTAGCTATACACCTGTCATTCCTCAAATCATAAACCTCATTCCTTCTTTAGAGCCTTTGCTTTTCCCTCAGCCTGAAATTCCCTTCCTCTTAGTTTTATCCATGGATAGTTGCATCCTTCTGATCCTTAAGTCTTAGCCCAAAGTCACCTTTTCAGAAAAGCCTCTATTGACTACCTTATTTAACACCAGTTTTCCATAATTTTCCTCTTACTCTGTTATTTCATTCAAAGCAGTTACCTGAAACTAAAACACAAACACACACACACACACACACTCTTTTCTATTTCTACATACTTTCTGATGCCCATACCCATGACCAGACCATGAGCACCATAACGATGGGACTCTCATTGTTTGCCTTGTTTTCTGTTGCATTCTCAGTGTCTAACACAGTTCCCAGCACTGTATAAGTGCTCGATAAATGTAATTGCTGTTGAATAATGTGAAATTTGAGTGGGTTACTAAAGGATAGGTAGAGCTTAATAGGTGAGACTCAGTGGAAAGGGGGTACTCAGGCCAATAACACCAAGAGCAAAGACGGGCAAGTAGGTGATCACAGCATGAATGGTCGGTTGTGCCCGGAGTCAAGAGAATAAGAGGCAGGGAGAGAGCAGAGGATCATGCTTCACAGCTCTGGGTCCCATTCTCAGGCACTGGGGAAACAGTCTGTTCTTGGCTCCAGATCACAGCAAACTGCCCACAGCAAGATCAAAGCTATGGCCTGAGGAACAACCCACCTACCCATGGTTGTCTTTCAATGCAATTGGTCCACCTGTAGAACCTTTACCTGATCTTCACCAATAACCCTAGCCACCTAACTACTAGTCTGGTAGTCTAGGCAGAGTCACAGGTACCCAGAATACTAGAGATAAGCCCAGAGAAGTCCTCTATTATATTAGAAGCAGGGAAAGCAAAACCCAGAGATAAGCAGGGAGTTTGCCAGGGTCACCTGGCAAGTCACTAAGCCTTGCAGATCTGTCTCCATGTCTAAACCTGGTCTGAGTTTCAGTTCCCTGAAAACATCCACCTTCTTATACACTACTTTCCTTGTTAGCTTAGCCTCTTCTCTCTTTAAGTTTTCTTTGTCCTGTTTTGAAACCTGGATCCATTTTCCCAATAGATAGTTTCTTCTCTAGTCAACAAGTTCCCACCGCTGCTAAGCACTTCTCTAGGGGAAAGGGCCTTCTAGAGTTGTGACCTCTGTAGAGCTGTCCCCTACAAAGCTCACCACTTGGGGGAATCCTAGATGAATTACGGACATGGAAAGAGCTCCCTCAGTTCACAGAAACAGAGAGAGAGAGGGTCAGGAATCTGCCCATGGGCACACAGAGGCAGAGTCAGGTTCACGACCCCAAGATCACTGCCTATAGTATTTCCTAACTTACTTCCTCCTTTATCTTCCCCCACCTGAAAGCAGAGCTTAGCCTAATCATGTTATGGCTACTGGGAAATACCATCAGCCTGAGAGTCACAAACCCTGGGAACTTTTGTGGGACCCTAGACAAACCTCTACATCTCTCTAAATGTTAATTTCTCCATCTGTATGATGGGGATAATTATACGTTTTACAGGGTAGTTGTAGGAGTTAAATGAAATGTCAGGTGAGGAAAATAATTTTGAAACTATATGGTAGGACAGCAAGATGAGGGAACAGGACTCATTAACATAAATGAGGAGATGACAAATTTCTCATTCAGATAAAAAAGAGGGTTGTCAAAAAGAAAATGGTCAGTAGTATGCTGCAATTGGTTTGTATCAACTACAAGGCTGATTGTATCCATCTTTGCACAACTCTATGTTCAGAGACATTAATTAAGATGGGTAGCTCAAAATTGGCTATGGTGGGACTATTTACACTGTAGAAATCAGCAAATGGTGTAAGTTAGGGCTTTTTTTTCTGTCAGAAAGATGGTTGTTAAACATTTACCTCTGGAAGCAGTGAGTGACTGAAGCACTGTGGATTCCTGAGGATTCAAATTCTCGAAGACAATGCATTTAGGGGTAAGAGGTAGCAAAAAGCTTGTGGGAAGATAGGAAGGTCCAGAAGCGAGTTCCCTGAGGAAGAACTGAAGCTAAACTCAGAGAAAAACCCAGGTTGTTGTGATGCCTGAGTGGGGCCTCTGAGGAGTGCTAGGAGGTCCCAGGAGGCAAAGAAAAGTCTAACAGAAAATACTAACCTGTACACTGTACTGACTCGGCATGTAGCCATCCCGGAAGTAAACCACAGCAACTTCCTGGCCCTCCCTAGAACACAGGATAGAGAAACCTGCTGTGTTAAATTATAAATGATCTATTAAGTGGTTTTATCTATTTCAGGGTGCATTAAAATGAATTTGG